TATGATCTGATTTAATAAATAATGGTTGATTTTAGAAATAAAGCGATTCAAAACTAAAAAGTAGTATTAACCCGAATTATCAAATATCCCTAAAACTTGCTTAACATTCTAATATATCATATATAATATATTTCTGTTAAATATTATTTTGATAGGTCTGAATATTGTCTTGGCAATAATGTTTCTGGCTTGTGGAATAATCTTTCATGCCATATTTTATTACAAGCTTGCGCTACGTCCAGGAAAATTCAAGAGCAAACTTTTTCTTCTAATCGATTGTTTAACAATGTCTCTGATTAAACTAAGTCTATTGTAAGACGGCTTTCACAGAGGCCGATTTGATAAGAAGAAATTAGATCCTTCTCTTCTAATATTGGTTGTATGGTTTTATCTTTTAAAGAATAACTTTTCATATAGTTTCAATATTACAGGCAGTGAAAATAAATAAACAGTATTGTTTTATTTTAACGAAATTTAAATTGTTTGCGAGTTTTGCGCGTGTATTATTGTGGGAATGGGACGTTTCGGCGTGGCCGTTTGGACGTCGGCCATTTCGCACCGGCCATTTCGACGTTGGCCATTTCGGCGTTGGAAGTTTTGGCAAACTTAACAATATAATTTTTATAAATTTTAAATAATTTTTATATTTATTATAATTAGGTTTATTATAATTAAGTAATAAAACTGTTTTCGTGTCGAAAGGAAGGTAGGTTTTCCGCTAGAACATCAAAAGCATAATCTAAATGATCGTAGGAACAAATGCCAAAGATATCACCATTCTGCCATTTAGAGGGAATTGTAGATCATCATTGTACTCTCTCGTATGTCCCATAGACGCCACTTGTTTCCTCATATTTTGGGCCAAGTGAAAAAACAACCATTTATAGTAACGCCTGTTCGAAATCGCAATATATTACTCTGGGTTGCAAATTTGGAACAATTTCTTTACTATACTAATACTATACAATTATTATACTAATGTTCATATAAAATATTAATTACACCCTTATTATAATTCTGATAGATACTTGAAAAATAGATTAAAACATTTATCCCATTCCTATGCAATACCTCACTTATTTCAATACTTTACTTATTTCATAATAAAATTTACAGCAGTTTTAACATACATACTAAAAAATAGTATTCTCGACGCCGAAACGGCCAACGGCGAAACGGCCGACGCCGAAACGGCCTGATGTCCAAATGGCTACGCCGAAATGGCCACGCCGAAATGGCCACGCCGAAATGGCCACGCCGAAACGGCCACGTCCAAATGTCCTAAACCCATTATTGTGGCTTATTTTTCAATATTCTTAATTATAAATGAGAAAAAAAAATTTTTAGGCAAAAAAGTTGTCTTTACTTTTTTTAAAAGAAAAATATGCCAAACATATTTGTTTATAATTAAATAAAATTATTAAAGCAAACTTAAATCTGCATTTTTAGCCAATTTGTAGTTTTTATCACCACTTGTTTTTCTCACAAATAAATAATCTAAATTTAAGTTGATAACAAACGTATTCATATGCAAATCGGATATAAAACAATCGCAACAAAGGAGCGAAATTCATTTTCCCGCTATGAATATATACTGCGGTCTTAATATTAATGGGATTTGAAATATTTAAATGAAACCGCACAAATGGTAATTGCATTTGCCAGTGTTGCAGGTGCATGTAAATTCTCTTCGTTTCAAGATTTACCGCCAAATACTACGGATAATTCCAAATATTTTGAAAACAAACCTGAAATCCCAAATAGAGATATCGGGTATACCGTATACAGAATGATCCAATAATATATTAGACAATTCAGTTATATATTTTTTAAACGGTTTTCTTTCTTTTTTTTAGTTCTATACCATAAAATAGTGTTTTAATTTTTACTTAGAACAATAGTTCTAAAAGAAAGTAATTTTTTTATTAGGCTCCATGTATTAATATCAAATTAGTAACTGGAGTACATAATTAAAACGATTGATTTCGAAATTGAATATCTAATGCCGCGTTTGAGAATCCACATCTGATGCATTTTTTACATCTCGAGCGTTTTTTTATCCACATCGGACACATCTGTCCCATTACATTTACGTATACTGAATCACGTGATCAAAGATTTGTGAAAAGAAAAAACTAAGAATGTTTTAATTATTATACGTAATCGAATATTTTCACTTGTTCCTCGATCGCTAGCGATTGCTCGGCACGGCACCTGCTCGGCACGGCACCTGCTCCAGCGCGGAAGCTCGGCAGGTAATCGGATACCCAAAAACCACAACAAATACAAATAATGCCAACAGTAAATTTTAAAATATCTGTAATGTTATTGGTTGTTTCGAAGTATTCGTGGACTTAATATCACACATACGTGAAACTACTATTTCCATGGGAATGTCTATTCCGACACGTTCGAGAATTGCATAACCTATTACCATGGGAATATAAGTAGTGGAATATTTTCCCATGGCAAAATTTTCCAATGATCTCGAGAATCGAGCCCCAGATTTGGTGGTAGGTTGTAGATTCTCCTGTGGTTCGCAAAGTCTGGGCAGTCTATGATGATGTGCTGGACGGTTAGGGGAAGCATGCAGCTCTGACAAATCGGTGGATCTTCAGTAGCCATTAAGTGTTAGTCGAGTATGACCGATTCGAAGTCTTCGGATGGTTATTTTGTTCTTTCTTGAAAGATAAGGCATTTTAAACAGTTCGATGTTTGGTTGGATATCACGTAGTTTAGATGTTATTGTATTCCAGTGGGTTTACCATGTTCTCTTAATATTATTTTTGAAAAGGTTTTGGATGTCTTTATGTAGCTGAATGTTTTCCATTGGTAAATTTGATAAAGAAGCCTCCTTAGCTGCACGGTCGGCTGTTATGGATACTCCTTGCGCAATGAGAAGATGACATTCGTGTATTGTTTGGACCACTGAATTTTGTGAGGAATGATTTTTTAGTGACATGATTGATGCAAGTGAGTCTGTGCAAATGGTCACTCTTCTCGTGTTTATTTTAACAGATTTTACAGCTTGGTAGATACCGAACAGCTCGCCAGTGTGAACACTGGCAAAATGTGGGAGAAGATTTTTAGAGATGATATCAAGGCCAGAGATCACAGAGCATCCGACATAGTCTTTTATTTTAGAAGCATCTGTGTATACGATGGTATCAAATTGGAAAGAATTTATTAATTCTAGAAAAGCTTGTTTTTGAAATTTGAAAATAAATAAATAATAAATAAATAAGCGATGACAAAATAACACAAATATATATGAGGACTTAGCTAAAAGTTTTAACATAACTAATTACTGTTAAAATAATTTAGCTTTTTAAAGGGAGTTTATATCATGAGATAATTGATTAATTTGAACTCTGCCTTCCTACTTATTATAACACAAAATAGAATTCGCAGCTTTTGTGTGGTACTGATGTATGTAAGAAATAGGAGTAAGTTGACAATTCAATACATTATTTTCTATTTTAAAAATATTCAACCAGTTCAACGTAGGCAACATAAGCTGAATGCTATATCTGCTATATCCTAAAATAGCTCTCGTTGCTTTATTCTGAGGAAGATGTAACCTCTCAAAAGTAGAGTTAGAACATCCTGTGTATATTATATATTTGGCATAACTTGTATCCTAAAGATATCACTTGAGCATAGTTTAAACTATAGTGAATTGTAGATACTCAACCAAAAGTTCTTTGGTTAGTTTATAAAAACCAGTTTACTACCATATTTTGATTTTTTTTACATTCGATTTCCTTTCCTGAATTTTCACCATTTCTTTGCTTGAACTTTTAGAGGGTATAAATAAAATTGTCGTTCTTTTTATATAAATTGTTGCAGCTTGCCTGCAAGAGTATATTCCTCTGGTAATATCTTTTAGAGCTTCTTTAATCTTACATTTCTTTCTTTTTGTTTTATACAGGGTGTTTCATAATATATGCGCAGGACTTCAGAACATGATAGCTCATCCAATAATATGAAAAAATGTTTCTATTAATTTACCCTCTAAAATGCACCATTGTCGAGATACAGGGTGTTGAAATTGAAAACAAAAAAAATTCTACGCCACTGGAAAAATTACGGTTTTGACACGCCCGTTTGAACAGCCAATGTTTTGTACACAAAAAAGGTACTCTTGGCCATACGCTCTAAAGTCGACCGTTTTCGAGAAAAATCAAATTTTGTTTCATCATAAAAATTTACCATGTATTTCAACATTAAAATTTGATTTTTCTCGAAAACGTTCGACTTTAGAGCGTATGACCAAAAGTACCCTGTATCTCGAAAATGGTGCATTTTAGAGGGTAAGTTAATAGAAACGTTTTTTCATATTTTTGGACGAGCTATCACGTCCTGAAGTCCTGCGCATATATTATGAAACACCCTGTAGTTTCATGCCATATTTACAGGTAAAAAATGCAAAATATAATATAAGATTGTTTATCCTCAAAGATTTTTATTACATTACAAAAATAAAATGTTTTTTCATGGGCATGGGACTGGCGAAAACATAATATTAAGGTAAAATCATATGCACAGCTTTAGAAATAATTTAAAACCATTTACCTCTATTTCAAGATGCACTCGCAATAACAACTTTACTTCAAAGAAGTTTCTTGTATTATATTTAAAATAAATAAACGTTTCTTCTACATTTGTTGCCTTCATTTAAATTCTTAAAATATGAAGATGTAGGCCACCAATTTAACATTTTGGAAAAATATGTATTACCTAACCTAGTAGTAAAGGCATCAAAATGGCCGCGCCCTATGTTGGGCGTGTTGGACGTCTCTCTTGTACCGTATAGTAATCAAAGTATGTGTCTCCGTTGCAGGATATTTACACTACATTATGGTGTATCATTGGCAGTTGAATTTTGGGATACTTTGTATATATGACTTTTTCGGCCAACTATAATATGCAAATAAGTAATCAGTAAATAAGTTTAAGCACTTGATCTTTACATAAAGACATTGTCAATGTCATTTTAGGTTTTAATAACGATAAATGTAAAAGTATTTTGGTTAAAGCGAAAGGGTTTCTTTAAATAATATTTAATGCAAAATTATGAATATAACCAGGAGGACTGCAAAAGAAGAGCCCCCAGGAATTTTGTAAAAGAAAATCTTGCAAACATCAAGAGCATTCAACGATTGATGAATATGAATAATAAAGTGTCTAAATCAAAAACGGTAAAAGGAAGTGACAAATTTCAAAACGTTCCAAATTGGGCACCAGATTCCAGGGGAGATACGTCCCAGCGCACAGAAGCACAAACGAAACCAGAAATAACCAGAAAAGAGTTACAGGCGAAGAACAAAAACGCCGACAACTATTCTAAACCCAAATTAGAAGATAAAGTACCCGAGGGAAATCAAAAAATTAAAAATGATAATAAGAAAAACGCGCGTCAAGCAAAAGCTGGCGGTACAGGTGCCGGTACATCCCAAATCTTCTCCCATCGTTCCGTGCAAACAGCCGACGATCCATCAAAATTGTACGAAACGGGTGTCGTTAAGTACGCTTCTCAACAAGTAACACCCTCGAAATCAAAATGTAAGACATCCAAACCTCCAAACATGGAAGGGGATCAAATCGAAGTGGATGACGATGAAACTAAAAGAAGAGATTACGTCAAGGAGAATATGTCGAATTTAAAACCGAAGACAATAAAACCATCGCCTGTAAAAGTACCATCAGAGCCTCCACCTACATATCAAAAAGGAGTTTTACCGAAATACTTGCAAGACAGAAAAGCAGAAAATGCCACAGAAGAGGATGATCTGTGTCCACCAGGGCATGTCCTTCTTCCAGAGTCTGAGAGGAAAGAGACCCTTAGGGTTCTTAGGCAAAGCTACGCTGATCGGATTCAGGAGCTAAATGGACTACCGGTGCGAAGCGACACTCTAAGGGTAAGAAAGAAAAAGATGGAAATAGAAGAAGAACTTAAGAAAATAGATAGCGGCATCAAAGTGTTTCAACGGCCTAAAGTTTACGTCAAAATTAACTCTTAGTAGTAGTTTGTAAATATTTTGAAAAATCCTATCCTAAATTGGATGTAAATTAAATGAGTCGCTTAGTAATTATTGTTCTTATGTGTATCATTTATAAATTAGATATAAATCAATGTTTACTTCTTCTTATTGTGCCTTACTAACAAGGTTTAAATATGAATATACATTCTTATTGATTCCTTCCAGGTTTTGATCCTATAAAACCTAGCACTTATTAAACAGCAAATTAAATCTCTAGCACTTCTCCTGAATCGAAAGCCTTAAAACCTTTTGTTCGGCTACGTTGACATATTTTAAATGTTTAATTCTTCAGAATCGTTTATGGTATGAATTTACTTATTCTGCAAATCCAGAGAAAATGAAGAGAGTCAGATATGTAAGTTGTTATCCAGTTTACTATTTTTGGCAATCACCTTAGCTACTTTCCAGGCATCTAGTACATGGTTTAACCGAAATGTTGCTTTTATTAGCTGAGTATAACCAATGCTCTTCTAGATAGCTTCTTAAGAATTTCTTCGGCTATAAGGTCGTAACCGGGAGCTTTCCTTGGATGTATGTTGCTTTTAATTTAATCTGCCATTTTTTCGATTGCATTGGATTGATTTCTAAATCTTCACCTTCATGTAACAGCAACGCCATTAGGCTATGCTTTTAGTTTGGCAGAAAAGTTTGTTCCAAGTGATTTGAGAACATTTTAGATCAGCTATTTCTAGTTCAGATCAGCATATCAGTGGCTTATTTAATTTTTGATTACTTTCCAGAGGGAGTTTTTTGTTTCACTATCATCTGTTAGTTCTTGCATTTATTAATGGATTTATTTCTTGATTATGCAATTTCTTTTCATAACTTTTGGGAGCCCTATTAGTCTTGTTTTATCTGGTGCTTTTGTTCTTTTCCACTCTTTCTTAATTGTCCTTTTGATTTCAGATGTACCTTTGCAGCTTGTTAAATCTCATCATAAAACTTTTTAGTTTAATTGTTCTTTGGTCTTTAAGTCATTTAGTAGTTTCGTGTTTAACATTTTTTCCTGAAATCCTTCCCACTTTTTACTTTCCTATCTGTATACAGATATAAGGAAAGTATAGGAATCATGATTTTTTTCGACCTCGAGTTTTCGACGGATTTTTACGTTTTGAGGTCCCCTGAATCCGTTTTGACTATTTTCGCGATGATGTCTGTGTGTGTGTGTGTCTGTGTGTCTGTGTGTCTGTGTGTCTGTGTGTCTGTGTGTGTGTGTGTGTCTGTATAACGCATAACTCATGAACCGATACACAGAAAAACACCAAATTTTAAACTTAAGCTTTGTTTCAGCGTCTTATGAGCTGATTAGATTTTGGGCAGAGTCGGAACATTTGGGGGGGTACTTTATAGGTGGTCATTTTTATATTTTATGGAATATATCTGTTATTTACGTTTGGAAAAGAAAATTCTTTAAATAAAAGTTACTTCTAATATTATTATCTATAATTTTTGTTGTATACAAAATTTTCCTAAAATGGTCCGTATTCGAGAAATTTGACAAAATGTAAAAAAAATATTTTTTTATAAAAATTGTTCAAATAAAAGTTGTTTGTAATATAATTCTCTATAATTTTTATTCTTTACATAATTTCTCTAAAATGGACCGTATTCGAGATATTTGAGAAAATGTGTAAATTTCGAATTTTGAAAAAACTCAAAAACAGATTAAAAAAAAACATTAAATTTTAAACTTAAGGTTTATTTCGGCCTGACGTAAAACGATTAGATTTTGGACAAAGTCGGAACATCTGGGGGGGTACTTTATGGGAGGCCGTTTTTATATTTTATGGAATATATCTGTTATTTATGTTTGGAGAGGAAAATTGTTCAAATAAAAGTTACTTCTAATATTATTATCTGTAATTTTTGTTTTATGTAAAAATTTCCTGAAATGGTCCGTATTCGAGAAATTTGACAAAATGTGCAAAATTCTGATTTTTATTATGAAAGTTTTTGAAATAAAAGTTGTTTGCGATATCGATCTCTATAATTTTTGTTTATACATGATTTTTCTAAAATGGACCGTAATGAAAAAATTGTAGGAAATTAAAATTTTTCAGTATTTTCGTTTTCCATGAATATCTATAGAAAAATGTTTCGAGGTAGATGTATGTGGACAATGTATATATTTAGTTTATCCTCTAAACATTTATATAACTAGATAGGAAAGTCATGTGTTGGACACATCAGATTTTTTTACTTGGGTTAGTTAATATTTTTTTTAATAATAGTTTTGCTTGATATTAGAATTAATGGCAAATGATAGCCCAGAGGCGCGGGTATTTACCATTAGGGTGGTAGAAGTTCACTTCCTGGAATAAAGGCATCTAGAGACACTTCTCGGAGACTTGTCAACCAGCAACCTTTTTGATGAGCTAAGGTCTAAATGATGTGGAGCAATCAACCGTTCCCCACCATAAAGATAAACAGATATTGAGAAATGATAGGAATTCAGATCAAAGTTTTCTTCATCAGCTATGTAGTTTGGAGATTTTTTTTTAATAATAAAGAAATCTAATGATTCAGGGATTTTCACTGGGTCACTGAGATAATATGTAGGCTTTCCAGTCGTTTGATAGCAGCATCCGATTTTAGTTACTTGCTATCTTATGCATTGCTTTTCCCTTAGTTGTTGTGGATAGTGTGGATCGCCATATAGTATTTTTAGCGTCGTAGTATCTGCCCATTATGAATTTGTTTACTAAATTAGTTTAGTATGTTAATATTATCATTTGGTACTTTGGTAGGAAAATTGCTGCTACTGTGGTTTTCCTTTCCTTGAAGTTAATATGTTCATTACCTAATGTTTTCCCATTGGCGTTCCAAGTAGCTATTCTAATCTGTGTTGGTGTTGTTTTTATATTTTCCGAAGTCTTTCCTAAAAAGAATTTATCCTAGCTAACAATATCAGCAATAGCTCAGATTTTTCTATATGCGCAGCTGGTTGTGCTATTTTATAAAGTGACAAAAATGTAGAATGCTCACGATTTTGCATGTCATCCATTGTACTGTTCCAATTTTAGTATATGTACCACCGAAATAAATACAAAATAAAACATAAATTACGGCAATTTATTCAAATTCATTTAAATTATGACGACTTGAACTTATACAAATCAAATGTATGCACTCGACCGAAAAATGGGAAATATAAAATGTAAAACACGTTTAACTTTTTATTGGATTGTAATGAAATTAACATGAATCAGTAGCTGCGTGACAGTCTATCTCGAAAATTCGAGTACGGAGACATGCAAAATGACAGCATGAAGGACAGTTTAATGCAATCAGTTTGTCTGTGGAAATTGCATCGGTAAAACGGGCAGTTATATAAAATATTTAAGTGAATCTGGGAATAATTTGCCTGAAGATTTCTATCTCGGATCTGTCACGTAGCTCGTTAATGCGATGATGAATATAACACGGCAATTCTATATGCTAAATGAGGGCTTATTTTTATCATTTAAATTCGGTTTTTGCGATATTACCATGATAATACAGGGTGTTTCAAAAAGATTGGGCATAAATTATACCACATATTCTTGGGTCAAAACTAGGTCGATTAAACCATACCAAAAATAGTGTATAAGATAAAAATTTAAATGAATTTTTTTAACGTTGCTCTTAAACCGTTTGACATTTTTTCATGAAATTTTATATGACGTGTTAGAATACCATGGCTAATAATACCGAGGAAGAGGCAATATTTTTTCTTGATTTTTATAGGTTTTTGGAGGGGGTCACCGCTCTTTTCTCCATTCAACTTTTTTGTAGTATAAAAATTAATTACAACTGAAACGCCACTGGAATGCAACATCCATTTGGAAACTTTTTTGTCTCCTAGTATTTGTTTGTAAAATGTTTAGTTTAGAGGATACAGCCATTTCAAATGACAACTTAAAAATATTCAATGGAAATTCTACGTATGAAAAATATCAAAATCAAGTTTACTTTTAAATTACAAACTAATGTCATCCAAATAAAAAAATGTAATTTAACAGGTGTTTAAAATTACATTCTCCTCCTGTATACATTTACTACATAGTTTTAACAATGAAAATCGAATTTTGATATTTTTGCATACGTATAATTTACATTGAATATTTTTAAGATGTCATTTTAAGTGGCTGTATCGTCTAAACCAAACATTTTACAAATACTAATAGACAAAAAAGTTTTCAAATAGATGTTGCATTTCAGTAGCGTTCGATTTTTAATAAAATTTTATATTACAAAAAAGTTGAGTAGAGAAAGGGGCGGTGACACCCTCCAAAATACTAAAAAAATAAAAAAAAAATATATTGCCTTTACCTCGATTTTGTTAGATGGTATTCCAACACGTCATATACAATTTCATGAAAAAATGTCAAACGGTTTAAGAGCAACGTTAAAAAAATTCATTTAAATTTTTATCTTATACCCCCTGTAACTATTTTTGGGTGTATATATGTAAGTACGGTTTAATCGACCTATTTTTGATCAATCTTTTTGAAATACCTTGTATAAATTTGAAAATATTGTTGCAACCCTTTTTCATATTTCAATTGAAAAGTTTATTGTAAAATCGTGACAAACCACAATTTACCAAAAAATGGCATTTTTACTCCAAGGTAATGAATAATAGGGTTACTTGTACCACATTTATATTAAGTAGATATTTTCCAACAAATGCCATCACTATATAGTTAATGTACCTATTAGGGTGCTTCATTTTCAGGCAATATTTTTTTTTCTCTGTGCTACCTGAAAATCTGAAACTTTATAAAAAATAAAAAATTATGCCGCCGGGTAAAAGGTTCTAAATGCAATAGCGACTTAGCTCATTCAAAAATTCGATTTCCTATTTAAATAACATAGGAATTTTTTTTTTGTTTCAATTTAATTTTTCGACATTAAAAATTTTTTTTTTAGTAATAAGCGAATACCTAAGTATGCAGAAAACCAAAATATTTTTCCTCAATGTCAATCTGGCTTTCGGCCAATGCACAGTTGTACAACTGCAATTATTAAAGTAACTGATGATATATTAACTGCAGTTGATGAAAATAAATTATGGGTTCTTGTTTTGATTGACTACTCAAAGGCATTTGATAAAATTAATCAT